TGACAACATTACCCTCCAAAGATGTCAAGTTCTCAATCCGTCCACTCTTCTGCCACTCCCTGAGGGGGGTGTATACTACGGATTCATCATGGACGAAACTTATGTTTTTCTTCTCACTGGCACCATCAAGAAGGAAATGCATCCCAACCTATCCTTTCATGATGGACAAGCACTCCTTCATGACGGAGCAGGATATGCCTTCTGTACCATGTGGTACAAATCAAACATCACTCCTGAAACCTGCTATGAAGATGAACTCTATCATCTGGTCGAAGTAAAACTCACTGCACAAGACTTCTACTGTGATTCTGAAGGCAACAGTATGGTCTTGATTCATCTACCTCCGGAACTCAAGCATTTGTACCGTCATTGGGACACTGCCATTCCACATGTCCCTGTGACCAAGTTGAAAACAATATCATGGAATGATCTTGGGCCTATGGCAAAAGCATGGGCCACTATGGACGAATCACAGCTACAGGAAAATGGTGTTGTCAAATATCCAACAACTGACCACCTAAAAGCATGGCCGCGTCATTTCCTGGAGAATGAGTTCCAAGATTTAACCATAGTGAATGACTACGACCCAGATACACCTCATGACTGTTTTGAACAGATGAAAATGGAAACAACACATCTACCAACTGTGCATGAAGACCCATTGGTAGATCCCGATCTCACCCTGTTTGTGGACGGCTCAAGATATGCTGATGAAGAAGGAAGATACCATACAGGATATGCCGTAACCACAACAGATGAAATTGTCAAATCATCATCTTTACCATCAACTATGTCTGCACAAGAAGCTGAATTGCAAGCCCTGACTTCAGCATGCAAGATCTCTGAAGGAAAGCGCGCCAATATCTACACGGATTCAAGATATGCACTGGGCGTGGCTCACGACTTCGGATTAATTTGGAAAACAAGAGGATTTCTTACCACCGCCGGTACACCAATCAAGCACGGTTCCGCAATCAAGGAGCTGATGGACGCCCTCCTACTCCCAGAAGAAGTGGCTATTTTGAAGATAAAAGCACATGGGAAGTTGGACTCAGATGAAGCAAGGGCAACCATCTAGCTGATCAGGCTGCAAAACAAGCTGCAAAAGAACCACAGGAAGTGGAAAGAAGAGTGTCCGGAAATGAAGAAACTCCCATATTTACTCTGCAGACTCTTCCAACTGACCTAAAAATCCTGCGGGAACAACAGGCTACAGTTGCCCCTGAAGAAATACAGAAGTGGAAACAGAAAGGGGCAGTTCTGAAGGATGGAGTGTACTCCAACAACCTCAAGTTCTGCCTCCCTAAGAATTTGTACCCAGCAGTCGTACAATGGGCACACGGACCTGCACATTTATCAAAGGATCTAATGAATGCTCTTGTACAAAAATACTACCTCATTGTCCCTATATGAGATTCTATTTGGGACTGCACCTAGGCTAGGTTGCTATTTTCCCCAACAACTACAACTTCAAACTGATGTCTTAGTAGATTATGTAACTGAACTCGCAAACGCCTTAAACAAAATCCATGCCCAAGTTTTCTCTTCAATTCCAGATCCTGATTCTGACACAGGCAACCACAGTCTGCTCCCCGATGACTGGGTTCTGGTCAAGAAATTTGTGCGAAAACAGTAAATGTCCGTTCCAAGTTCTCCTGATGTCCCCTACCTCTGTCAAATTGGCCGGAAGGCCTAACTGGATCCACGCTTCCCATTGCAAGAAGACACCTGCCCCAGAGGAAGCTAACTCTATGCAACCATGTGCCTCTGGTACATTATCTCCTTAGTTGGCCTCCTTAAAGCCCAGCAGGTGGCCATCACCAAAGATGCTAGTGGGTACACCTTCTGGTATAATTCATCATGTACCCGTGTGGCTACTTATACTTTTGACTACTGTGACATCGTAGAATGCCCATTCCCCACGTCACAGATTCAGAATATCTATAGAGATATCCCTCATTCAAAAGACCCCTATGTTTGTGTAGTTGACAAACAATGGGGGCACAACTGTAACCATTGGGGGGCGGCGGGATGGAATGCCGGGTCTGCCTGGGGTTACAAGCCAAAAAGTGTCTTATCTAAAATTGATGATCACGGTAGGTCCCTCCTCCAGAGAATGACTCTGAGAAAGCCCGGAGGAGGCATACCTATGAAATTAATCTTAAACATTGAGCATCCCAGCCCAACGGATGCAGACCAGTATGTAATGGGAATGTACTGGAAGAAGGGTTCCTATAATAAATTAGGACATTTCCACCTTAAAGATATGTGCCACTCTCCTGAGTGGAAAGGGACCACCCACATGGTCTCAAATCCGTTGAAACCACACATCCAATCTTTTAAAGACATGATGGCCATTGCAAATCCAACATTTGAAGATACCATGGCCGCTGAAACAGGTTTCAATGATGTTAATCTATGGTTAGAATGGATGAAATATAATGCCAACAAACATAACAGAACCGCATGCTATGTGTGTGGTGGTGCCCGGCCGCACCTGGGCACTGTGCCTTTAACTTTGCCAGTAGATATAGAAGAATGTGTTCTGAGTTCTTTTTGCCTATCACTACAATTTCAATAGGTCCATATGTAAAGCATGGACAGTAGAGTATCCTCTTCTAGTCAAAGATTGCAAACCCCCAGATGGTGTTACCGTCTATAAAGGTAATTATACCTGTTATGCTAATTATGATGGAATTGGTAAATTTGTGGGTAACTTCTCTAAAGGTTATTGTGCCACCTACAGAACTGTCTCTATGAACCTCCTACAATTCCACACTAGATCATTGGGGGATATTTACTGGTTGTGTGGGGATCCACAGCTGAGATCAAGAATGGATAAAGAATGGTGGGGGGAGTGTACTCTGGCTAAAGCAATCATGCCCATACATATTATCTCTGACACACACCCCGATACTCATGAGTCCAAACACTCACCAACCAAGGTAAAGCGTGAAGCCCCAGTAAAAGGCAGTTTTGACCCTCATATTTACATTGATGCCATTAGGGTACCTAGGGGGGTGCCCAATGAGTTTAAAGCCAGGGATGAAGTTGCTGCAGGATTTGAATCACTTTTTACCATAGTCACTGCAAACAAGAATTTAAACTGGATAAATTACATCTACTACAACCAACAACGGTTTGTTAATTACACCAGGGATGCCCTTCAGGGTTTGGCCGAACAGTTGCAGGCTACGTCCCAAATGTCATTCCAAAATAGAATGGCTTTAGATATGATTCTAGCAGAAAAAGGAGGGGTATGTAAAATTCTGCCTGACACCATGACATGTTGTACTTACATCCCAGAAAACACAGGCCCCAATGGTAAAGTAACCTTAGCTATAGGAAAATTGAAAGAGCTCTCTGAGGAGCTAAAGAGGAACTCTGGGATAAAAGATCCCTGGGAGAGATGGTTTGGTTGGATGACAGGATGGCAAAAAGCTTTGATGCATATTGGTATAGCAATACTAATTTTCCTTTTTATCTTTGCTCTTCTCGTTTGTTGTGTCCTCCCTTGTCTGAGAAAGCTCCTCTTGAAGACTGTAGACCAAGCGGCACCCACTTACGCACACCTCACAGTTGATGACCAAGATTTCCAAAAAGTCAACTCGCCCTGTATACCGCTACAATCTATCCCGTTTATTGATAGAGTGCAAGAGTTCTAGGAAGGGACCAGCTTAGGGACAGCATCTGTCTGTCTGGGAAGTCTACCGTGCGGAGATGTGGTGGGTTAGCCACCTCGGGATACCCATGGAGTGAAGTGTTCGAGTGCCCAGCGGACAGATGAGTTAGCCAATTAGGGACAGACGAAGGGACAGCTTTGCACTTTGCAATAACACCTAGCTAGCGGGTCACGGGGTTTCTGTGCCTTTGGGCTAACACGTCTTCTGATACTAACAAATAAAGATTATCTTTTAGAATCTAACATTTCATAGGGGGGACTGATGTAGAATTATTAAAATCTTTATTAGAACCTGTATTGAATTATTGTACTAACTCCATTTTGTTCACCTTACATGACAGAATTTCCTGACAGTATTCAGTATAATGAATAAGAGATTGTATTTTCTCTCTCTAAGGACATAACTAGCCCCGGAGTTAGCGGATCTCCGTTGACTTGCAACATAGTATAATCCAAGGCCAGGAGAACAGTGACAAAATGAAATGTTCTATTCATAAAAGAACCTTGGAACAGACCACGAGACTGACATCACTAACTACGTAAAATGACGCCCAAGCCCCCCTTTCCACCGAGTAAGCCTCGTGCTAAAGAGCAATGGCGACGACATCCCATGATGGGAGGGTGCCTCACTAGTCACTCAAATCTCTGAGCCAATTAATAATATTAATGGGTGGACACTGACATAGCCACTTAACATTTAACCCAATTAATGATGTTTATTTGTTATTATCTGATATTCAATGATGATGTCATTTTGCATATAAAAAGGCCTGCGTGCCCGCTTTTTAACTAGATGCTAATAAATTTCCTGAAGTGTTTTTAACCTGAACTGCATGTGTCAGTGTGAACTTACTTCTGCGTATACGCAATTTATTCATCTCAGATTTGGACAGGAACAGATAGACTTTTAAACATTTTTGTTTATTTCTAAATTAATCTACATCATAGGCAGGATCCAAAGTGCACCAGGAACAGAAGGTATACCAAGGAGAAGAGTAGGAGGAAAAACTACAACTTTATTAATAAAAAATAATATTAAAAATTCTATATATAAAAGTCCAGCATCCAGTATCTTACTCCACTTTACGCGTTTCGCCCTAATCAGGGCTTCTTCAGAAGTTATAATCATAATATACATTCATACAGTATAGGGCAGTCTATAATACAGCACATTTTTACTAAGGGTAAGGTTTGCTTTCAAGAGTGGTACATACAGGCTAAGAGACATTTTAGCTAATAATCATGAGAGTAATCATTTATCCAACAAATGTCATAAGAGAGACATTGAACTTTTTATGGTACAGAACATGCTAGGCACTTAGGCCGGGTCTGGATGTGCCAGGTGTCTCGGAGCCGGATTAGCTGCGTTTCTTAATGGTCGTGTACTGGATTTAGGTGGATTAGAAGTTTTCTTGCAGTGGAGTTTAGCCATCTTTAGGTTTCGGCTTATGGGTTTGTAAACCCGTGGGAGACGTTCCATCTTCAGCACCATGGTCTGGCCCTCTGTGTTCGAGGGTGTGCGCGGCCGTGAAGGGAGTGTGTTGGCTGCACCATAAGTGAGTGCTCCTCATGCTTGTGACGTTTGGCCTGCTGCTCCCTAAGTGCCAATTTTCTCCAGAAGGCATTGAATAGGTCGTCCAACCTAGTCTACAAGTCAGGCTGCTCTTAGTTGTGCTTGGGAGCACACGTGGCTTCCGCCATGTTGCTTGACTCAGCCCGTACATTCCGCTTGTGCAGCAACATTGTTTGGGTTCATTACAGGTGGGTTGCCTCTCAGGAGCAGACCGGGTTAACCCCTACCGGTCCGGGGGAACCCAACATGGAAACAGACCATTAAATTCAATTCAAATATTACCAAGAACAAAAGAAAAATTAGATGCAAGTAATTTTTTACAAATACTACAACTACATTGCCTACATACAGTTAAATGCATGACACTAGGAAAAGGAAAGAAAAATTAGAATGCGGTAAAAATAGTTTCTGTTAATATTTCACAGCATCTCTTACATCAAGGCAATAAGTTATTGAAATTTGGAAATACAGATTGTTTAGCCATCTGTTGCAACAAAACTTTTTGTGAACTAAAAAGTTTCCACTTATATATGTATATAGTTATCTGAAAAGGTGTCACAGTCATTCCATGTGTTCTTAACCGATAAAGTCCAGGAGCCATTTATCTAACAAATGTTAAAGGACCACTCTAGGCACCCAGACCACTTCAGCTTAATGAAGTGGTCTGGGTGCCAGGTCCAGCTAGGGTTAACCCATTTTTTCATAAACATAGCAGTTTCCGAGAAACTGCTATGTTTATGAATGGGTTAAGCCTTCCCCTAATCCTCTAGTGGCTGTCTCATTGACAGCCACTAGAGGCGCTTATGCTTTTCACTGTGATTTTCACAGTGAGAGCTCTAGCGTCCATAAAAGCTATGAATGCTTTCCTATGAAGCTGAATGCTTGTAGCGCAGCTCTCGCAGCGTGCGCATTCAGCCCAGGAGGAGGAACGGAGGAGGAGAGCTCCCCGCCCAGCGCTGGAAAAAGGTAAGTTTAACCCCTTTTCCCCTTTCCAGAGCCGGGCAGGAGGGGGTCCCAGAGGGTGGGGGCACCCTCAGGGCACTTTAAAGCAGAAGTATCACAAACGTTAGATTAGTAAATAGAGTGGAGACTATTTTTAATAGTTTAGTTTAAAGGGTTGGTTATCACTTCATTTAAAACGTTATGGGTAGTGGCTGTTATGAATTTTACTTCTTCAAGAAACTCTGAATTTTAGAGAAAATAAAGAATAAATAAGTTAAAAAAAATAACAATGCTTCCTCACCACACAAATTATCTTGAATACAGCTGGGATTCACTCACGTGAAGTGACCACAAAGGGTGCAGAAAAGCATAAAAGAAATCAGCACCATGTCTGCTAAGAAACGACAGCTTCTTTTACACATAGAAGTAAAAACTGCACTTTTCTCTTAATATTGAAATGTGGTCTTTTGAATTACCTTAAAGGGACACTCCATGCACCCAGACCACTTCTGCCCATTGGAGTGGTCTGGGTGCCAACTCACAGTACCCTTAACCCTGCAACTGTAAATATTGCAGTTTTCATAAACTGCAATAATTACATTGCAGGGTTAACTCCTCCTCTAGTGTGCACTTCCGGGTTTATAGCTGAAATCCCCATAGGAAAGCATTAGGTCTCCCCTGCCGGCGGCCACGCTTGCACAATAGGTCTCCCCCACCGGATGACGTCAGTGGTGGGGGAGCGTGGGCGGACCCTGAACCAGCGCAGAGGGACATTGGCGCTGGATACAGATAAGTCACTGAAGGGGTTTGAACCCCTTCAGCAACCTGGGATGGGGTGGGAGGGGAACTGCAGTGCCAGAAAAACTGTTTGTTTTCCTGGCACTGGAGAGTCCCTTTAATCCGATGAATTAGTCACAAAATAAATCATATGATTTAAATGGACACTTTAGGCATCAAAACAACTTAATTATGGTGCCAGGAGGCCCTTTGGGGCATTCTTACCTAAAGGGGTTAAACCGTTCTGAAATTAAGAACAAAAAAAAAAAGATATAGTGCACTATAATTCCTATTTTGTCTCCAGCGCAAATCTCCTCTTCCTCCCAGGCTGCATCTGGCTTCTGAATTTTGCGGAGTGCCGCCAGGCAGGGACGCCGATGATTGGCTGAGAGCAGTCTGCTGATGATCTCAGCCACTTAGTGACTCCCTATTCACTAAACTCACTTGAAAAAAAAATATATATATATATTTGAACAGGTTGTGGTTCTTATTAGTAGTGCACATTGTCCAGTTCACTAAACAGTAACTTGGGTTGTGTAAACTATAAATACAACCATGACACTGACGTCAATCTACCAAACAGTAATGGTTTGTGGTTATTTAAGCGGATCTTAAATGGACTACTCTGTCGCAATAAGAGTTTCTTTCTAATTAGGTTGGGGTCAGCCTGCAGTTGCTACTAAACAAAGGAATTTTAAATAGGTGAATGTCTTTATTATTATTATTTTTTTTTTTTATATGTTAATGCAGTTAGCATATGGGGCATATTCCACTCTATAGTTTAGCTTTGTCAGATAAGCAGTGTAGGGCTTGACATTTTAATTATATAAACTTATGAAAGGAATTTTAGAATCATTACAGTACACTTAAACAACTGCATCTGAAACTCCTCTCCATTGCCGTATTAGTAAGCTTACATTGTTTTAAAAAGAGAATGTTTAAATGATAAATCCCACTAGGGCAGTGTCATTTAAAAACTTAAAAAATGTGAAATTAAGTGACAAACTATTAATAAACCTACGAAGAACAATTGCAAAATGTTTTAAACTATAAAACCAATTTACAAAGTAGGTTTATTACAGATCATATATTAAATTAAACAACAGAACCACTTTACCTTAAAACTATAAAAGCACAAAAAATAAATCAGGATATAATAAGGTTATTCTAATAATGAAGACAATAAAATAGATAAATGTGCCATAGAGAACACCAAGGGTGTTTATTGTCCAACCATGGCTCTCCAGCTTCTTTAGTACATTCCAGACAGACTTGAGGTTCAGCAGTAGGGATGCCAAAATAGGGCTTACACAACAGTTTGAGAAGAGAAAAGCCCATAAATGTTCTCATCAAAGTGAAAATATGAACATTGTATCAACCACAAACAAAGTGATAGAGAAAAAATTTTGGGGGAAATTTATTTCAACATAACAGTAGAAAAAAAAAAATACATACAAAAACAAAATCTGGTTTGAATGGATAAATTCTTGCATTTAAAGCCACTTGCTTAATGTTACACTTTTGTCAATTCAAAGTTTCAGGTCTGTCAATTATGGGAAGGATAGAGACAGATTAAGACCTGCTTCAAAATACATTTTTAGATCTATAGGAGACCCCAGATATTCCCACCACATTATTTGGTCTCAAAAACTGATTAACTGGGAGGTAAGGACAAATACATATTCATCAATTGAAGTGCTCATACTAGAACATTGGTTATTCTACATAAATATGCAGCTTTGAGTTATAACCATCATGCTTCTGAGCTTTTATAAGCAAGTGAATATATAAAACGAAAATAAAAATTTGCGTGTACATTAAATATATAGCATGCCTGAGCTCAAAATACCGCATAGATATATATATGTCTGTGGTCCTCTCATGTTCCAGCTATCCCTTATAAATCTGTACAAAATAGGATGCTACGATCATGGAGTCAGCAAGAGTTCAGGAAGTCCCTGGATCATAAGAAACCGAGAATTTTAAAAAAGATTGTCTCTGGTGGGACATTGTCGACATCTTCTCCTCAAAACACAAAGAGACATAATTCAGGTTTAGTCACCTTGAACAATTAATTTTTTTTTAATGCCATGAGGGCTTCAGTTTTCTGCATCATGGAAAACAAGACCACTAGTTCGTACTGATACAGGAAGCAAGAACAAAAAGGTATTTTTTATTAACAGCAAGATCGATCAGAAAAGTGCCTATAAAATGGCTAAATATTTAATGAGGAAAAGATACCCAACTGCTCCCACTTTAACCTAATTAAAGTGATTGTGCCCAAGATTATAATCTCTCAGAGTATAACAAACGCAGAGGATAGCATTAACAGTTCAATTATTGCGGACATTTAAAAGCATTCATCATTAAACATGGAACATCATTTTTAAAACGATCAAATTAAAAAAAGATACTAACTAAAAAAAGCCCCTTATAAATTAACATGAAGTGTAACAATGTTTGAACAGTTGAAAAGTTTAAATAAAAACATGCAATGTCATAAAGGACATTTTACAAACCAAAGCAATACAAAAGGTTTGTAGAACGTATTAGCCAGCTTTTAGGACACTAAAGGGATACTATAGTGCCAAAACATAGCTATATTCTTGGCACTATAGCTCCCTCTGCCTCCCCCTCGACATGAGTAAAGGGTTAAAAACCCTTTATTTAATTACCTGAGCCCATCTCCGATGTCCGTCAGCGCTCTGCCGACTATCCGCCCCTCTGACGACGGGGCGTTAATGCTGTGAGCGCACATTAGTCCTCCCCATAGGAAAGCATTGAATAAATCCTATGCAGAGCATAAGGATGTCCAGCATCAGATACCGGACCAAAGGTCTGTTTCAATCCAGGAAGTCTATCAGACAGCCACTAGAGGCTTACTTAGTGCTGCAATGTAAACATTGCCATTTCTCTGCAACTGCAATGTTTAACAGTGCAGCACTAGGTGCAAAAGGGACACTGCACCCAGACCACTTCAATGAGCTTAAGTGGTCTGGGTGCCTATAGTGTCCCTTTAAAAGTCCGGCTCGAAACTGACTTTCCGGTGTTACAATAGCAGAAATATCAACTGCTGGTAAATCCACTGATTTTAGATAACAGCTTGCAACATATTCAAGACTAATTGAATTCTTTAAAGGAATCTGTCATCACACTTATGCCTGGGAACAAAAAAAACAGAATGTCATCCTTCATGTGAC